AAGAAGGTGAGACCGTAGAAGTCGGCACATTGCTTGGCATGTTGGAAGCCGGTGATGGCGCAGCACCTGCGCCTGCCAAAAAGAGCGGCCAAAGCAAAGCCGATAAGGATGCGGTCGAAGGCGACACCAAGAAAGGTGGCACGCTGGTTGATGTCATCACGCCGAGCGCTGGCGAGTCCGTGACCGAAGCCGACGTTGGCGAGCTTTCGGTGAAGGTTGGCGACACCGTGAAAGCCGATGATATCTTATTGGAGCTAGAAACCGACAAAGCAGCCCAGGAGATACCAGCCCCAGTATCCGGTGTGATTGCTGAAATCGCCGTTAAAACCGGCGACACGGTTCAGCCCGGCGACCTGCTGCTGAAAATCGAAGAAGGCGGCAAGGCCTCATTGGATCGCTCAGCGAGCGCCGAGACATCGCCAGCCAAAACCAATGAAGCACGCAAACCTGATACAGCACCCCCACTGGATGTGACCGAGATGTCACCGGCGCCGTCAGCAAGCCGGATGATGGCCGAAACCGGCGTCAGCGTGGCGGCAGGCACAGGTAAGCGCGGCCAGGTGCTCAAAGGCGATGTGATCAATGCGATCAATTCTGGCCAAACCGCACCGGCAGCCTCCGCGCCAGCATCGGCACGCGCACCCTCAAACGCCGACGATGAGCCGCGCGAAGATCGTGTGCGCATGACGCGCTTGCGTCAGACCATCGCCCGCCGCTTGAAAGACGCCCAGAACAGCGCGGCCATGCTCACNGCGTGAAGCTTGGCTTCATGGGCTTCTTCACCAAAGCGGTCACCCATGCGCTCAAAGAAATTCCAGCTGTGAACGCTGAGATCGATGGCACCGATATCATCTACAAAAACTTTGCGCATATTGGCGTCGCGGTGGGCACCGACAAGGGCCTCGTAGTGCCGGTAGTGCGCGATGCCGATCAGATGTCGATTGCAGAAATCGAAAAAGAAATCTCACGCCTTGGCCTGGCCGCTCGCGATGGCAAGCTGGGCATGGATGACATGCAGGGCGGCAGCTTCACGATTTCCAATGGTGGCGTCTATGGCTCGCTCATGTCCTCGCCGATCTTGAATGCACCACAGTCAGGGATCTTGGGCATGCACAAAATCCAGGAGCGCCCGATGGCCGTGAACGGAGAAATCGTGATCCGCCCGATGATGTATCTGGCGCTTTCCTATGATCACCGCATTGTCGACGGCAAAGAAGCTGTCACCTTCCTGGTGCGCGTCAAAGAAAGCCTGGAAGACGTGCAACGACTGGTTTTGGACCTTTAACAAAATGATGCGGTCGGCCATCATCGCCCTTATGGTAGCGCCCTCATTGGGCACAACTGCTTTGGCTCAAAAAGCTGAGCAACAAGGAAGCGAGGATGCGAGCGCGTATCGTGTACAAGCGTTTCTTCCAACGCTCCCAGACAGTTTTGACGTCGAAGGCGTCAACACCGACGGCTCGCGTTACGATGGCACGGCTGAGATGGAATATGACGCAGCCAACGAAACCATCAGTATGACGTGGCAAATCGGTAGCGATACATTCCGCGGCACAGGGTCGTTCGTCGATGACCAGCTTGTTATCGACTGGGGTGAGCCGACGCCGGTCATTTACAGTATAACCGAGAACTTGAACCTGTCAGGAACCTGGGACGCCGGGCAGGCTTCAGAAGAGCTCACACGCGAGCTCACACTGTCTCCACCCATTCAATAAGCGATTGAAGGACCTTTCATGGCTGACGCTTACGACCTCATTGTTATCGGAACTGGCCCTGGCGGCTATGTCTGCGCCATTCGCGCGGCACAGCTTGGTATGAAAGTGGCCGTCGTCGAAAAGCGTCCCGCCCATGGTGGCACCTGCCTCAACATTGGCTGCATTCCATCCAAGGCGCTGCTGCATGCCTCAGAAGTTTTTGAGGAAGCTGGTCACACCTTTGAAACGCTCGGCATCAAGGTCACTAAGCCGAAGCTTGAGCTCGCCAAGATGATGGGCTTCAAGGACGATGTGGTGAAGGATAATGTGGGCGGCGTCGCCTACCTGTTCAAGAAGAACAAGATCACCGACTACATTGGCACCGGCACCATCACCGCGCCCGGCAAAGTGACCGTGAAGGCTGAGGACGGCAAAAAAACCGCCCTGGAAGCTAAGAATATCGTGATTGCCACGGGGTCGG